TTTCTGCCATAGCCTGGGGAGTTACTTCGATCTGAGTATCCCTCACGCTGGTGACGAAGGTGTCTGGCTGTTCTAATCTGGCTTCCATATTAGCATAGAACTCCTGGACGAGTTCGGTGTAGGCGCTGGATTGAACGTTTAGAAATTCTTCCCACTGTTGAGCCTTGATCCATGTCTTGAATGGTTTATTGGCTTTGACGAACTCCCAGTCCATAGCCTTGGGTTTGAACACAGATAATTTGTTGGCAGTGGGATGAGGTCTGAATGGGCCTTGCACCTTTTCTTTGGCAACACCTTTTCCTTTAGGGTTTCTCATTGTTCTTGCCATTTGAAGATTTTAGGTTTTAGATTGGAGAGATGAGGAGAATTTGATTTTCGCAGAGTGATTGCAAAGATAGCAAAGGTAGAAGACGATGCCTGTAGAGGCGCGTGGTTCTTATAGTGAAAACTACCCTGGGTTATTACCTAGATACCCTTACTGTAACGGTAAATTTTGAAAAATTACCGTTAGACAGCTAATTTTCTAACGCTTTCAGTTAACTTAACTGTTAAGTTACTGAAGAGTTTCATCATTAATCCACCTCTTGGGTGAATAAATGTCAGTTGTAGCATTCATTCGTACATATAGACACTCAAGCGTTTTATTTAAAATACCTGGATAGATGACGCGTCTATCTTACTGGATTTGGATTTGTTATTCTAATAACCTTTCTCAGTAAGATGGATTGCTCTTTACTGAGCGCTTCAGTAAGAATGTCAGCATGCTGGTTCTAAGAATTTACTTGATATCTCCCTTTTTGATTGTCATTCTTCTGAATTCCATAATTCTTAATTTGCTGCTTGATTCAGCGGATTTGAGCTATATGGCTTCTAGCATCAACATATACATCTTCAGTAGTTTGAGAGCTTTACTGATGCTTATTTCTTACTGATCCAAGAGATGAGCCTTTCCAAGATGAACTGACATCCTTCAGATGTGCTTCTTTCCTCTCAGTCAATCTCCCCCATAGTTACTGCCAGTATAGCCATGGAATTTCGAAGCTGCTGACAGGATACTAGCTACCTTTTCCTAAAGATTTATGCGAAAGACCTCGGAATTCTCTTAACAACAGTTATGTGAGATTCCGTGGGGTTAGACCGAAAACATGCATAATCTTATACTGAGAAGTGGATATCAAGTCCATTGGCAGTTAAATATAGTAGAGTCCTTTCATACTATAATAAGGCTTAGACTCAATAGTCTTACCAGTGTGGTCTTTATTCAGGATATCGCTGAGCCCATAGGGATAGAAATTGATTTACCACTCTTTATACTGAAAACTTTCAGTACATCCCTTGCATATTTAGACTGATTGATATTTTTCATGCTTGCCTTGTTTGACTTGAAATTCAGTTCTCTCACTAGAAATATTTCAAATTCGATTACTAAGCTCTCAACACAAGCTTTCATCAGTACTACCAAGGATAATATCATCCATAATAAAATACTTTCCAGTTTCCTATATAAGAAAAAGGATGATATCATTTCTTTCTCTTTGAGAGTTTTGAACTTTAAAAGTTCAGTGAGATTTCTTTATCAAGCATGAAATACTTACTTCTTTTAAGAATGGACTTTTGACATTCATTTGTCAACCATTTAAAATCCATAAATTTTGCGAAAAAAAATATAAGGTTTGAATAACCACTAACCTGGCAACTGGTGCATCAATACTTTCTTTGCTGATTATATTCTTGTGCAACCAGTCTGGCCTTGATTTTCTCGAATTAATTCAGTTCTTCTTGTATTGCATTTATCCAGTACTCAACATGCTCAGAGTCAGCTGACTTATCAAGCTTTAGCATGGAGACGAATGCAACATTTTCCATTTTTCTACTGAATTGACCTCCAGTCAATACTTTGTTCTGAACTTGATCAATAATGTTTTCTCATGGATTTTTAACTCCCTAGGTAGACTATAGTTCTCTTCCTTTTGGGATTCAGTAAGAGTTGTGTTGTCAGTCTTACTGAAGTGACTTTCTTGAGTCAGATAGAATTCTTTTCTTTTTCAGAGTGATGAACTGACTTTTCACCACCTGTTATACGTCTTGAGCATGCGCTGTCAGTATATCATTGTGTTGATTTGTCCACGCATCTCAGACGATCCTGCAAATCAAAACTAGTTAGATTTAGGAGCCTAATTCTTTTTGGGTCCTATATCATCAGTAGGATAATAAAAATCTCTTTCGTAGACAGTCATAAGCCTACAATCTCTTGTTTTATGTCCAGGCTTTCCACAGATATTGCACCCCAATATCCTCTCTGTATACTGAGGCTCTCTGACCTAATTAACCCTGTTCATCCAGGTCTGACTCTTTGGAATTGTCTCAGAGAAGTATTTATAGGCTGTTTTTCTTGTCTGAGTGACTGGGTTCTTGTACTGCTTTTGTTTTTTCAGCCACGCTTCCCTCCTCTGCTTCTCCTCAGAAGGGTACTGATGATACATTCTCCTTCTCTGAGAGTTCTTGTATCTCATCTGATACTGAGGCTGTCTCTCAGTATGCTGATAGACTCTCTGAGGTAGTGGTCGCCTATTCTGTCCATACTGACTGCCTCTGTGGCCGCCTATTCTGTCCATATTGACGATGTCTCTGATTCTTCACATACTGATTATGTCTTTCAGTATGTTTTGATCTCTGAGTGTTCTGAGGCTGTGACTTTTGCTGAGCTGTCTTCGATTCTTTCTGTGACTGAAATTTCTGAAATTCTTCAATCCATTCTCTCAGATTTGCACACTCCTGAGTGATGGTCTGTATATCTTCTCCTTGTAGTTTCAATTTTTCTTCATGATCAGGAAGTGTAGTAGCAAGGTTCTTGAATTGCTCCTCATGGAAGCTTCTATCTTCTTCAAGTTCTACAATTCTCCTCTGAAACCTTTTCATCTTGGCTGCTGACTTCTTTGCAAACTGATATAATGCAAATAAGGCACAGTGCATCTCAGAGGTAGACATGGATAGGACTTGTTCCTGAGGATCTGCATCTCTGTCTGCCTCACTTTCAGACTCATCTGATGTGTCTGAGCTAACTTCCTCAGTATGCTCACCATCATGAGCCATGAAACAGATATTGGCAGTTTCAGTATTTTCTTCTTCATCAGATGATGATGAAGACTCTGATTCTTCTGAATCGCTCGAGGTTGCCACCATTGCCTTCTTTTTCTTGAATTTCTTGTCCTTTCTTAGTTTAGGACAACTAGTTCTGATGTGTCCTAGCTGGTGACACTCGAAGCAGGTGATGGATGGCTCTTCATCCTTCTTCAGATCCTTCTTTGTGCTGAAGTTTTTGTATCTTCTATTGTGGAACCTTCTACCTTTCTTGAACATTCTCTTCAGCTTTCTAGCAACGATAGCCATATCATCTTCATCTGAGCCTTCATCCTCAGATGAATCAGCTTTCAGTACGATGGCCTTCTGCTTCTTATCATCAGATCTGCCTTGTTTCTCCTTTTCATCGAAATTTCTTACTGAAATTTCGTGAGTCAATAAGGAGCCAATCAGCTCATCAAATTTATAGCTCTTCAGATCATGAGCTTCTTCGATGGCGGTCTTCTTTGCTTCCCAGCTCCTAGGAAGACTCCTCAGAATTTTCTTCACTTGCTCTTCCTCAGTAAAACTTTTACCAAGGCGCTTCAGCTTATTGATGATATTGACGAATCGATTGTTCATCTCGCCAATAGATTCTCCTTCCTTCATCTCGAACAGCTCATAGTATCTTAGCTGTTGATTGATTTTGGACTCCTTGACTTTATCAGTCCCTTCATAGGTAGTCTCAAACTTCTCCCAAATCTCCTTAGCTGACTCGCATCCAGATATGCGGTTGTACTCAGCTGCATCCAGTGCACAGTGGAGCATATTTATGGCCGCAACATCATACTGCATCTTTCTGAGATCTGCATCAGTCCAATCTGACATGGGCATTACTGAAGTAACTCCTTCCCTTACTACTGATGGTTGGTAAGGACCTTTTATAATGAAAGCCATGCATTCATGTTTGATGCTTGTACGAAATTTTTCATGCGATTTTTCCAGAAAGTATAGTTTTGGCCAAAAAACAAAGGAGGTCTAGTAATAGACATCCCTTCAGGGAGGATCTGGGTGGTCTCATTACCTGGTAACTGCCTAGTAGAGTTGCTTGCCATACTTTATGGATCTTTGGCTCAAGATCGATTAGATCGAGAATAAAAGAGCACAGGCTCTGATACCAATTGTTAGTCCCGATTAGTATGGCGCACAGTTCTAGAAGGGGGTTGAATAGAACTGTATAAGATTTTAAAATTCTTTTTCAAGAACAACTTATTTCAATACAAGGAAACTATGAGAAATTCGTTTTTAAAGAAGTATACTGATTCCTTGTCTTCGTTCAGTATGATGGATTCCTCAGTGAGGTGCTTGTTCGAACTGAGTGCTGCTGCGCTGCTTTTACTGAAACTTCAACAGATTGATCAGTAAACAAACTTGCTCAGTATGCTGAGAAAGCTTACTGAGGGTTTCAGTAAATAGTTGGTTCAGTATATATATTTCAGTATGTTCAGTTTAACAGTTAAAGCATAATATATGAATACTGAAAGAGAGATAGAAATACTCAGCAGATTTATACTGGTTCGGGTACCGTCCCCTACGTCCAGTCCTCAGAGTACCGTCCTCTGAGATTTCAACTATCAAGCTCTTTCACAGGTAGAGCAACAACCTTTACTTACAAGTGAAGTACCGTCCTTCACTTCAGATAGGATCCTCAAGGTGAGTACCGTCCTCAGCTTGATATCCTCTCTTCAATGGCTGACTACTGTAGCCAAATACAAGTTTCTTTCTTAAAAGAAATTGAATCTCTAGGATTCGAAAATGAAGTTCAAGTATTTCTTTTGAACACAGATACGACAATGTGTGTGTTCTTTTACACTGGAAATGATTTTACAAGCTATCTCTTTCTAGAACCAGCAGCGTTTCTTTCTCTTAATTTCCAGCAATTTGCTCTTCCATGTCTTCAGCTATTTATAGGCATGGATCATAAATGTGACCGTTGGAGAGCTTTGAATTCTTGAATACGCTGAGTTTCTTCGATGCAAAAAGGATTTGACAGGTTTCTGTCAGACTTTTGATCGACGAAAGAGAGAGAGAGGAGTTGTTGAAGGGGAGAGGCGCCTGTCTGCGCTGAGAAGGAAGGCAGCGTACTTCCTTTTCCCTTTTTGGTACCAATCATTAATTGCTTTTGTCTTTTAGTGCCTTTGATAGTCAAATTTGAATCTTTGCAATAAATGAGGTATCTCCCTTTTGTCCTTTATTCCTATTAGGAAACTTTCAACAAAATACTCCAAGCCCGATGGTTAATTTTCAAAACCACACATATATTAATTAATTAAAAAATTAATTAAATAAAATAAGGTATTTAGGAAAATCAATTTTCCTTTACCGACAAATCCCATTTGGGAATGCAACATTTCCAACAATGTCGTGTGGCATATCTCTAAATCCTCAGAACCTTCACGAAAATCGAAGCGCCACATCAGTAATTCTGGAAAAAGATATGTCGTGCGGTTTAAGATAAGCCGCGCGACATATCTCCCAAAAATGCAATTTCTCTCAATTTTGAGTGAAATAATGACTTGGTGTGAGGTCCTCGAAAGAAGTCCGTTCAAAAAGAATCGGAAAAGAGCCAAGTTCGTGATCTGATTGCGAGCCACGACCGGAGCCAAAAGGCATCGTGCTCACAGATCCCCTACACTTAGAGAACATAATGTCCTTATTGCATACAACATACAAAATAGAAAACTAAGATAACATAATCCATTGTTATTTTCACACATAATGTACTTATTTTGACATAAAACAAAATAACAAGGAATAGGAACATCATTACTCCTTTGATGATTCTGATGGAGGAGTAAATTTAACATTGGTCTTTTGAAAGAATCACTTTTTCATTAATTTTTATGCTTAGCTAAGCTTACACATTTGGTAATCCATTTTGCCAATCTTAACTTGAATCTCCTACTGGCCTTGATTAACACCATATAAATGGCTTAGCACATATTACCATTAGGAAAATTGTTCTCGATTCCCTACTTTAGTTCATCTCAATTACTCATTTTCTTCTCCCACTTCAAATTGGTTTGTCTCACCTATAATAGCTTCAGATGCTTCATGACTGACTTTTAGCTCTTTAATTCTCATTCTATCTTCATAAGTCTTTGTAACATACTCCTTATTCACCTCCCTAGCAAGCGCTACCTTCTTAAAGAAAGACCCATCCAAGTACCAGAGGAAATTCATTAATGGCATGCATAACAAACAATCATGAATACCTTGGAACCCATGCCAACGATATTCTTATTAAGGTTCAGAGAAATTTTATAAAAAGTGTTAAAGACAATGCAGTTTGTATCAATAGTATCATGTCAGTAAATTATATCTAACATAAAAATATTTTTGACTTGCACTTTTATACAGTTAACACAACCAAAATAAAGTGTTAAAGCAATATGCATGTGGAAATAAAAAAATTCTAGTATCCTTAATCAACTTTTTAGAAGAGTTTTTGGGATTAAAATAATCCAATTCGATAAAATGCTTCTAAAGATTGTCGATCTATTAGCTCTGTTGATCTTCGGGAGCAGTCAGTTAGTGAACTATTCCATTAGGTGTTAGCCATATAAGCCACATCATGTAAGCTCTAAAAATTTAGGCCTTCTCAATTAGGCATTACATAGTGACCATTATCATTAGGCATTATCGATATAATAGCCACTTCATGTAAGCCCTACAAAGTTATACATTCTTAGGCACTACATAGTGACCATTATCATTAGGTGTTATTCATATAATAGCCACATCATAAAGGCCTTAAAAAGTAAGGCATTCTAGGGGAGGCACTACATAGTGACCATCATCATTAGCCGTTATTCACATAAAAGCCACATCATGTAAGCCCTAAAAAGTTAGGCTTTCTTAGTTAGGCACCACATAGTGATCATTATCATTAAGTGTTACCCATATACTAGCCATACTATGTAAGCCCTAAAAGTTAGGCATCCTCAATTAGGAACCACATAGTGACCATTGTCATTGGGCATTATTCATACAATAGCCATATCATGTGAGCCCTAAAAAGTTAAGCATCCTCATTCAGGAACTACATAGTGACCATTATTATTAGGCATTATTTATATTATAAGGCATATCATGTAAGCCCTAAAAAGTTAGCCATTCTTAATTAGACACTTCACAATAATTATCATTTGGTGCTATCCATAAATTAGCATTTGGCATTTACTATTGGAGATTGATAAAAGTAGAAACTAATCCAATGTCGACGTCCTTGCAACCTGATATAGAGATCAGGATCAAATGAAGTTGTGAGTGCTATGGAGTGTAAAGCTAAAGAGATCATCCATTTCTGTGATTAACATTTTCTATCGGAGGGAAAAGGGAATAACAAAGCATTATTTTTTATACTGAAAATTATGGTCAGAATCATGCCATGTGTCATGATGGATGATGGGTCTGTCTTAAATATTTTCCCGTTAAAGATCCTATCATAATTAGGCCTTGGGATTGGGGCTTTACAACAAACTGCCACGGTAATAAGGGCATGTGATAATAGTAAGTCGTCTATCATAGGGACTTTTGAAGCAAAATTTAAAGTTAAAGGGGTGAAGTCCTAAGTTCTATTTACTGTAATCGACATACCAATTACCTTTTCCCAACTATTGGGGTGCCCATGGTTTCATAAGTTGAGGGCGTACCATCAGCGCTAAAAAAGTGAAATTGACTGTTGGGGATAAAATTGTGACTGTGCAAGTCGATGAGTCTTCTATCATAGCGGCAACCGTAGATACAAAAATGCCAATGAATGGTTTTCAAGTGGCTATGTCCCGAAGAGAAGAAAAGTATATAGCGCCAGTATGGTTACAGTCATACATGGTTAAGCACAATTATGTTAAAGGAAAGGGGTTAGGGAAGGAAGAGCATGACATCACTCAACCCATCGTCTGCCTGGTATAGAAAAATACTGAGGGCTTGGGCTTTTAAGGTAAGTCGAAAAATAGAGGAAATGTGGAAAAATATTACTTCTATTTTTACGAGAGCCAAGGAGGATGTGTACGATGGACACGTTGAGATGATCAAAGTCGATGGGAAGCATGTCCCTGGCTTTCAAATTTTTGGTGTATGGTAAACTTTTCAGCTCACCTGTAAGGATTTGGAGTCAAGATACAAGAGGAGAGAGAACTTAAGACAAAAGGTAAAGGTGATAAATCTATTTATTGTGAGGAGAAATTTGATGTAGCTTTGGATGCGATCACTCAAGCGTCAACCAAAGTGCTGAAAAAATGTTTAAGTTTCAAACCAGAAAGTGTGGCCATGGAGAAGGTACAAAGTAAGGCTATGGAAGTCATGAAGCTCTTTGCTAAAGACAAAGTCAAGGTAGTGTCAGATCCAATGGCAGAAGTCCCCGTGCATCTGAGTGATTTGAATTCCACTACCATGTCGAAAGAAGTAGCACGTGCCAAAGCTATAACCGAATAAGAAATTGAAGGCCCTCCGCCTATGGAGGATGATGTAATTTATGTAATAGATGTAGCTTCTATTTTTAATTCAGACAATTCATCCCATGAGGCATTTGATAATATGAAGTCAAAATATATGAGATTTCATGCTATGCTATAATAAAATCAAGTCAAAGCATATAACGAAACCTACTCGAGAGACACCTGTGATGACGAAACCATGTGGTGCTCTCATTTGAATCTATCTATTACCATATTGGTGAATATGTACTATATTCCTGATTGATATTTCATGTATTATGCATAATAAGACACTACTATATAGTCAGTGAAGAGGTTTGTGATTCTATTCAATCCCATGATTAAGACAACCCTAAGATACTATTTACGATTATGATTTTTCATTGCTTT